TTTTTTTTTTTTTTTTTGGTGGAACCGGGGATTGAACTCAGGCCCTTGCATTTGTCAGGGAAGCGCTTATTCCACTGAGCCATGTCCCCGGCCCCCAAAATGTTTAAGTTTAAAAACTTAGCTCAGTAGAATAAGCGGGGCCTGAGTTCAATCCCCGGTTCCACCAAAAAAACCCCACAACACTTTATTATTGCAAAAAGCCCATTGCCGTGAGCCCCTTCAGCCTTCCCCTTTGAACACATTCCGTCATTCTTAACGCTTCTGCAGCAGCTCGAGGTCTTCCACAAGTGCCTTTACAAGGTGTGGTCAGGAGCAGGGTGGCAGCTGCTTCCCAGGGCCACCAGTGGAAAGCAGCTCGTGAAAACATGACCCGTGACCTCATCCACCTTATTCACCAGATCCCCAGCAGCGTGTGACGTCTGGCTCTTCCCCAAAGTAAAAATGACCTTGAAAGGTCAATGTTTTGAATCAATTCAAGACATCAATGGAGCCGCAAAGGTGGAAGTAAAGACACAAAAGCGGATTCCAGAGCTGCTCCAAAAGTGTCAAGAATGATGGCTAAGTGTTGGACGTGAGGGGGTCGATTGTGTCATCTACATTTCTTTTTTTGTTTTTGGTGGAACTGGGGATTGAACTCAGGCCCTTGCACTTGCCAGGCAAGTGCTTATTCTACTGAGCCATCAACCGGGCCCAAGGGGGTCGATTGTGATGAGCTCCGTGTCCACATGTCTCTGCTGTAAGAGCTTTGTGTTTCAGAGCAGGGTCTTGCTGTGTGGTCCAGGCTAGCTTGCATTTCCTGTGCAGCCCAGGTGGCCTCAGCAGTCAGGCCAGCTTTCCCTCCTTCATTTTCTTTATTTTCTCCTCTCTCTTTTTTTTTTTGCGGAACCGGGGATTGAACTCAGACCTTTGCACTTGCCCGGCACGCACTTATTCTACTGAGCTATCTCTCCGGCCCCCCGACTCTTTCTCTTCTTTCTTTCTCTCCTCTTTCTCCTTTTCCTGCGCTCCTTCCTTCTCCTCCTCCCTCCCGTTGTGCCTTAGACCCTAGGTCTCCTGAAGGCCAGGGATTGCTCTGCCCGGGGAACCACACCCAGGCTGGTGGTTGGTTTCCTTTTCATTCTTTCCAGTTTCTGGATGTACCCTTCTTTCTCACCATAGACTTTGATGACAGTACACACTTTTTGTTGTTTCTTCACAAAGTCAGGAACATTGATGTGGCATCTGTGACAGCTACAGAATGGCTTCCTTCTAGAATGTTTTGTGTACTGTGTTCAAACTGAGGCTGAGCCAGGTCACAATTGTTACGGAAACCAACACTTGGGAGACACTGTGCGTGATCTGAGAAGGCCAGGAGGGGCTGAGGCTGAGCCACTTCATGGGGGCCAAAGGAGGCCACCTGGGGGAGGTGAAGGTGGTGCTGACACGAGGGACCCTGCTGTCCCTGAGTGTGTGGACATGGTGGGCAGAGTTGCTGAGGGCAGGGCAGAGTGAGATGAACAAGCCCGGGACCCTGGAGGGACAAAGGTCACAGGTCAGGCCTGGAGGGAGCTCAGGCAGGGCCAAGTGTTGGTGTGGCTTGTGCTCAGGAGGATCAGAGGTCAAGAGAGCTGCAGGGGGTCTCAGGAGGGGTCCCCATAGCAGGCCCAGGCAGGGTCCTGATGGTGCTGGGATCCCAGTGGGCTCGGAGGTGTGCTGGGGGTCAGGGCAGAGCCCGCGTGACCCCCAAAGTAGTCCCCTGTCGCTCATCGCCAGGTTCTCTCCGATCGCCATCGACGGCATGAGTGGCCTGGCCGGCGTGGGGCTGTCGGGGGGCGCGGCTGGCGCCGGCTGGTGCATCTTCGTGTACAACCTGTCACCTGAGGCGGACGAGAGTGTGCTGTGGCAGCTGTTTGGGCCCTTTGGTGCAGTCACTAACGTCAAGGTCATCCGTGACTTCACCACCAACAAGTGCAAGGGCTTCGGCTTTGTCACCATGACCAACTACGACGAGGCGGCCATGGCCATCGCCAGCCTCAATGGCTACCGCCTGGGAGAGCGTGTGTTGCAGGTGTCATTCAAGACCAGCAAACAGCACAAGGCCTGAGCTGCCCCCTCCCCGCCACCCTGTCCCTGGGCAGCAGAGAGAGAAAGAGAGAGAAAGAGAGAGAGAGAGAAAAAGAGGGGCCCGAGAGAGACAGCCCAGGCAGGCAGGTGGACCCCATCCCTGTCCAGGGGTTCCGCATCCACCCTCCCTGCCCCCCACCCATCCCAGCTGGGCTGCTCACTCTCTCCTCTGGTTTGGTTCATGGTGAAGGTTTTTGTTCCTTTTTTTCCGGCTAAAAAGAAAGCAGAGATGAGCCTCCACTCCTCCTTTCACCACACTCCATGGGATGGCTTGGGGGACAATGGGGTTGAGGGGGACCTGGACCTTCCCAGGCCTCCCAGCCCAGGCCCCCTCAACATCTTAGGTGGGACTGGAGAAAGGGGAAAGGGAACAGGTTTAAAAATCCCCAAAATAAAAAAAGTGAAACTGGAAGAGGGGTGTGGGCATCCCTGGCTCCCAGAATCCCTGGGAGGAAGCAGGGGGAGGGGAGGGCCCGGAAGCAGAAACAAAATGGAGAAAAAAAGGGGGGTGGGAGGGGAAGAAAAACTCTATTTTTGTAAAAAGGGAAAAAGACCTCGTGGAGAATTTTTACTGGGGATTCTTGAACTTGAAAAAAAAAATCACAAAAAAAGACAAAAAAAAAAAAAGAAACTATTTTGGCAGGTTATGTTTACCAGCTGGGGCACGGGCAGGGCTGAGGGGCTGGGGGTTCACGGGGCCACACACGGGCACACGCACTCACACCACGGGGACAGAGGCACAGACACTTCAGCTCACGTTTAGGAACTCGCTGGCCAAACCCAGATGCGTGATGGGGTGAACCCACAGGAGACAGCAGCTTGGGGCTGCACCGACGTGGACGCCGGTCGCGCAAGCTCCTGGGTGTGCAGACACGAGTATCTCCGTGTCCACGCGGGTGCAGGCCATCGCCGGGGACACCGGGTCACACCAACAGACCCACGGGCAGGGACACACGCTCAGAGCAACCTGTACCTGCAGGCTGGCCCGGCCCCTCCTGCTCGGGGCTCCCTCGGTCCCACCCCCCAGCCCTTTCCTGGGTCATGAGGGTTCTCCCTGCTGCCCACCAACACAGGCCTGCAACACGGCGTCCATGCACCCAGACACACAATACCTCGGTCCACTTTGGCGTCTCGGCGGGCTGGAGGCAGCCCCTGTCCCACACCACTTGAGGCCAAAGGACTCCCTGTCCCCTGAGCCTCCCCTTCCCACGAGGGCCGGGCCTCCCCGGCAGCAAGCACCTAGCAGCCTCCCTCAGGCCCAGGGTGGACAGGCCCTACACCCTTTCCCGTCCACTTTGTCACACACACACACACACCCCCCCCTTTTAGTTTGTTAGGTTTATTTTCAAAATTTTGTCTCCAGGTTGGGGAGGGCGGTGGTCACAGCTCTCTTCTGGAGGCCCGGCCAAGGCTTCTGTCTGGATTTTGGTCACCACTCCACGCCCACACCTCTTGCCCTGCTTTTCACCATTTTTTTTTTAAAAAAAATTCCGACAGAAGCCAAAGGCCGGAGCCCCTGGGAGCCCCTCGCCCCTCTGCGGGCCCAGTCAGAACAGAATCGTGAGCCCTGTGGTCTCCGTTCCAGTGGCCTCTGCACCTCCTGTCCTGTCCAGCGTCCGGCCACGGCCCCAGTTGGGATGTCCAGCTCTCTCTCCCCACCCCTCCCGTGTTGTTATTAAACGTCTGTGGAGCTTGTGCTGCAAGGAACAAAGAAGAAAAAAAAAATCAAAAACAACAACAAAAAAGAAAAACAGAAGAGGAAGGGAAAAAAAAGGCAACAAAAAAAGAGGAAAACAACACACTCAGAAGATTTAAAAAAAAAAAAAAAAGGAAAAAGGAAAAAAAAAAAAAAGACATAAACTGGCACCAGTTAACTTTCTTGTACTTTTTTGCTGAATTTAGCTTCTTGTAGTTTTAACTTATTGCTATGTTAACTATTTATTATCCCTGTTGACCTGTAAGGACCTTTGTGTATATTTCTGTTATTTCATCCGGTTTGCAAGTTAAAGGAACTCCGATGTTCTTTGTTTCTTTAAGTTTTGCTGAGATGTGGTTATGCCTAATTTATTTATAAAAGGGGAAGTGGAATCGTTAAAGTAATATTAATTATTAATAACAGTAATGGTAGCCGGGCGGCGGCGGCAGGGGGAGCGTGAGTTCTTTGGGGCAGTTCCCCCCACCGGCCTCCGTGGACCGGCCACATCCGGGGATGTCAAGGGGATTCATTTTGCTCTTGTCTTGAGAATTTTTTCAGTCCTATTTAGCTGGTGAAAACCCTAGCTTGTTCATGATACACGAATCTATTTATTCTTGTGGTTTTAAGTCCGCCTTCCCCTCCACCCTCCCTTCCTGCAGGGCAGGGACCCCCCCACTCTCCCAGTGGGTCCACCCCTCCTCCCCTGCTGCCTCTGGGGCTTCCCCCCACCCCCCCGCCGCCCTCCGCATAGAGCAATAAGGGCTGGGTGCGCCCCCCACCCTGGGGGGCTCTGGAGAGGGGACACCTCCCCACACCCCCCGCCGAGGCCTAGGCTCCTGCCACCCTGACACTGGAGGGGACCTCTTTTTCTAAAACAGAGCTCAACCCGGCCAGGCCCCCTCCCTGGAGGCCGGCCCCTCCCCCCAGGGGCCAGGCCAAGGGCTCCCCGGGAGGGGATCCCAGGCTTCCACCTCCTGGGGGTTGGGGGCAGGGTCAGCAGGGAGGGGGCTCAGCCCCTCCAAACCTCCCTTCATCCTGTAATTGATTTAAGTGAGTGCAAGCCCAACCTGAATTGCAGATTGAAACGATAAAGAAAAGAAAGAAAAAAAAAAAAAAAAAAAAAGACAAAAAAAAGAACAAAACGAACAAACGAAAAAGAACAAAAAAACCAACCCAACGAAGAACACTTGCGTTGCGTTTAGACTATTTATTACCAGGATTCCTGGCCTGGCCGCGGTAACAGACTTTTACATGGAGTTGTTTAATTATTTGTACTTTTCATGCCAGAAAATAAAAGTTCAGAATCTTAACGTCTTGGGTGGTGTGTGCTGCGTGGGAGGTGGGGTCAAGCCGCGTGGCTGAGCTCAGGCCCCCGGTCTCACGACACCAGCCCTCAAAGGGATCCGCGTGCCCCAGCCTCCCAAGCACTGGGCTCCCAGCGCACAACGGCATGCCTGGCTTGGTCTGGGCCTCATCCACCCCAGGTGCACACTGTCCCCCAGGGCACAGAGGACACAGATGGAAGTGGCCTGGGTTCCACCCGCGCTGTGCTGGACTTGGCCACAGGCCTCACAGGGCAAGGCCCGGCAGCGTCCACTGACAGCCGTGTTCACCTCTGCCCCCTCCTTGGCTCTACATCCCACAAACAGGGCAGACACAACCAACTTTGGGGGTGGAGTCACATTTATTGTTCCAGATCACAGATGAAGTCATTCGCTGGCCCCACCATAAGGGGGAGGGGGCGACTAGGGTCAGGGTGAACCACCCCACCAGGTGGGGACTGGGGATCGGGCACCGGTGGGGTACTGGGAAGGGGCTCCTCTAACCCATCTTTGGAGGCCACAGGGGCCTAGAAATGTGGCTCAGCCCAGCCAGGTCCTGGGGAGTGGGGGGCAGAGGCAAAAGGTCCTGTTCCGTAGAGGGGATAAGGACCCCAGGAGCCTTGGCCTTGGTCCACAGACAGGGTAGTGGGAGGCACGGCCAGGCTGCTTCCCGCCTTGAGATTCTAAGTAGGAGAAAAGGACAGGTCAGAAAGGACAGGGAGGAGCTGGTGAGATGGCTCAGTGGTCTAAAGCACCTACTTAGAACAAGCTTAGTAAAGCACAGTAAAGCACAGGGACCGCGGTTCAATCCCCCAGCACCACATGCCAGCCAGCCCCGCCCCCTGATGTGCTGAGCTGGCCACACACACACACACACACACACACACACACACACACACACAAATAAACATAAATAAAAAATTAAAAAAAAAAAAAGAAAGGACAGGGAGCACCATGCGGGGTCACACAGCTGAAACCCTGGCCCTCAGGAGGATCCCTGCGAGTTCAAGGCCAACCTGAGCCACATAGTGAGCTTGAGGCCAGTCTGAGTTACAAAAGGAGACCCTGTCTCCACACACACACAGACAGACGACAGACAGGGTGGGGAGGGGGTGGTAGGCGGACAAACAGGCCCCTGCCCACCTTGGCCTGGCTGGGCTATAGCTCGTCGTGGTCGCTGTCAGCAGGCAGCTCGGGTGGCGGCTCTGAGCAGGCAGCGGGCGTGGTAAGCTCCATGAGGTACTCACAGCGGCTGGGCTCAGTGGTGCTGGTGACCATGGTCTCCTTCCCGCACAGCAGGCGCACCTGGGGGCAAGGCGGAGATGTGCTCGAGCCACAGGGCTGGCCAGGTGGGCTGCCCATGGCCCACACACCAGGCACTCACCGTGGTGGAGCGGTTGGGGCCCTGCCAGCAGCCGGTGCCCTGCTCGTACTTCATGGCGCTGAACCTGTCGTGCTCAGGCCCTGCCCAGGAGCCCCACGTGCTGTGGGGATGACCAGCTGAGCGCCTCAGCAGCTCAGGGCTGGGGGACAAGCACTGTGGGGCGCAGTGGACCACTCACCCAAGGTTGGTGGGGGAGCCACCGAGCTTGGGCTTCTGGGAAACGAGTTTGAAGGGGCAGAGCCGGTACACATATCTGGGGGAGATACAAGGACCTGAGATCCACCCATGGCCTCGCTCTTCCTGTAGGGTAGAGCTTCCTGTAGCTCCACCCCAGCTCCATTCCTTCCAAGACCCCGTGTCCCTCCAGCTGGCAGGCAGCCCCAACCCCCAGCCTGACCCCAGGCCCCACATGCCCAGACCCACTCGGTGGTGGTGAGCTCATAGCACTGGCTGTACAGGTAGGCAAACTCCCCTTGGGGGCCGAAGTCGAAGGAAATCTCCTGCTCCAGGTTCCTGGAAGAAGTGGATGGATGTCACAGCTGACGTGGGACAGCCCAGCCCAACAGTGGATGGACACCAAGGGCTGTGACCCCTGCCGTCCCGGCCGCCTGGGGACCCTCCCTGCAGGAGCCACCCCCACTGGAGCCTCAGCTGCCTTCATGACTCCCAGTTACAGCCACCTCGGGGGTCTAGGGGCAGGTGCTGGCCAGGCGGGGGGCAGCTTGGCCTTGGCCCTGGTACCTACTTGATGGACTCCTCCATGTCCTTCAGGGACCGCTCAGCCTCCTCGAACTTGCTGCGGGCCTCCTGGGCAGCTGGAGGATGGGACACAGGTCATAGGTCCCCACCCTATGTGGCAGGATGAGCTACGGGGACCCCAGCAATGGGACTGCCGCCCTCTCCCCCTGGGCCTGCCCTGGACAAGGACAGAGCTGTGGATCCCTGTGGGCCTCTTGCCAGCGCACAGCATGCACCCTGCTGCCAAGGCACCACGCCCAGGCTCGCTGGCCCTGGAGCCACCAGGGGTGACACAAGCCATACCCCAGGGAACAGGAGGACACCTGGCGCCAGAGATGGGACCGGCTTTCCCTGGACAGAGGCACGCACGCACGGCTTGTGTGTGGCTCTGAGGCGGAGGGGACGACAACCAGGGCACAGTGCAGACTCCACCCAAGTGGGGGAGAGTGGTACGCGCTCCCCACCCGGCTGGGCCTCACCATCGATCAAGGCCTGTGTCTGCTCGTCATAAGGGGGCATCTTGTCCTCCTCTCTGGGGCTGGCCGGCAGTGGGGGCTCGAGTGGGGACGGGGCCTCCTGCAGGGCAGGGGCCACAGTCAGCAAGTGCCCCCACCCCAGCCCGGCTGGACCAGGGCCCCCAACACATGCCTCGGGCTGCTCCCCGAGCACCTGGGAATCCTGCTCCTCCTCCTCCTCCTCCTCCTCCACTTCCTCCTCCTCAGTCTCCTCTTCCTCCTCCTCCATGGGATGGGTTGGCACGGATGGCGGCTCCTCCTTAGGCTCTGTCACCTCTGGGGCTGGGGGTGCCGGCAGGTCAGTAGGCAGTGCCTGGCGGGCAGGTGGGAGGGCAGACTGTCACCTGGGACTCACGCACCCCAGCCTCCAGCCACAGCGGCTCCTGCATCGCGCCCTCCTGCAGGGAGGAGTCTCTGCGGGAGCCCGGGTGGCCCAGCTGGCTGGGGTGGCCAGGCGCCAGGATGGAGGCTGCGCCTTTGTGAGGCGGGGGTGGGGCAGGACCGCGTCCCCTCCTCCACAGACCTCTGACTGGTACTTGTCCCTGATGGCGGCCCAGACTCGGTCGTAGAAGGAGCTGGCATCTGTCTGTGAGTCCCCGCTGAGCAAGGCCTGCGTATGAACACAGCGGGGTCAAGACATGGCCTCTGACTGTGGTACCAGGCGGCCAGAGGGTGGCAGTCCAGGCCATTGAGGGCTGGGAAAGCAAGGAGACAGAGCGACAGGTGTGTACCAGGCCCACCCGGGCCAGGGGACCATGGGGAGGGGGAAGACCAGGCTGGGAGGACGAGGGCATGGCAGAGGACAGGTGTCCCCTCCTGAGGTGCCCACAGGGGTATGCAGCAGGGAAGGGGGAGGGGCTCCACACTGCTCAAAGCCACTCTGGACCCCACTAGGCAGGGAGAATCTTGGGGCACCCTGACGTCTCCAGCCCAGGGCCCTTACAGGCTTTACACTAGTGGCCTGGGCCCCCTCCTGCCCCATGAGGTCACTCAGGGGTACCTGGGCCTCCCCTTCAGACAGTGTCCCATCACCATCCGTGTCCAGCTCCGGGTGGCTCTGTAGCTCGGCCACCGAGACCCTGTGGGGACACAGGCAGGAAAAGACCCAGCTCTCTGCCAGCTGCCCACCAGGCCACAGGCAACACTGACCTACCTACTCCCAGCCAGACTGACCGCCCCAGCCCTGCACCCCTGCCTGGCTCGCAGCCCCAGGCCCCTCCCACACCAGCTCCTCAGCACTGGATAGACCCAAAGGGGCCCAAGGCAGAAAGGGCAGTGAGGTGGGTGGGAGATAGCAGGACCCCATCACCAAGAGGAGCCCTTACTTCATCCGCACCCACCCCACAGCCTAACACACATGGAAACTGCCAGCTGCCCCACGCCAGCCTGGATGCCATGTCCCGTATCCCCAAACCAGTACTGGCCGGGGGCGCCCCAGCCACCCTTCTGAAAACCCCTACTTCTCATCCTCCAGGTTCCCTGTGGCCCCCTCGGTCCCCAACAGCACACGTTCCACCTCATCACCGGGGCAGTCAGAGGCAAGCTGGGATTTCTGCCCCAGCGGGTAACACTTACACACCATCCGTGTTGTCGTCTAGCTCCCGGAAAGCGTCAGCCGCCCGCTCCTGCTCGCGCTGGGCCTTGGCAGCAGCCTGCTGCTCTGTAGAGCAGTAACTCTGTGACGCTGGGCCCTTGGGCACCCCGCTCTGTGCAGACCCCCATAGTGGCAGCCCAGCTGATGGGGCCATTGGCATTGCTCCCGACCTGTCAGTCCAACCGCGTGACCAGACTGCTGCATATGCATGAGGCATGAAGCCTGCCTGTGCTGCCAGCATGCTGGGAGGCTGCAGCAGGAGGAGCTCAAATTCCAGTCCCACATGGGTAACTGAGCGACTTATCGAGATACTGTCTCCAAGTTACAAAATTAAAAAAAGAGCCAGCGATGGAACTCAACATGAAGGCTCCAGATTGAAAGAGGAATAGAGGAAACAAGACGCCTGGGTAAACCACCACCTAGGATGGGCAGCAGGCAGGACCAAAACCTCCCAGCCGGCCTGTCCCCTCCATGTCCCACTTACCTTCCCACAGCTTCCGGTGCTGCTCCTTGGCTTCCTTCTCTGGCTTCTCAGCCTCCTCCTTCAAAGTCCGGAGGGCCTCCACCTGGTCTTCCAGTGACTTCCTCCCAGCCTGGAACTCAGTGAGCTTTTTCTGGGTGGATAGGAGGCAAGCGGTTGGCTCTCCTGGCCTTCTGCCCTGCTTGCACTGCAGGCGCCTCTCTGGCTCTACTCCCCCAGGGACGGGTAACCTTTCCGACACACACACCTCTCTGGGTCTCCCCGGGCTGTGGCTCCCCAAGTGCACACTTCTTTATTTTGAACCGGAGTCTTGCTAAGTTACCTAGGAGTGGCTTGCACTTTCACCCCAGGGACCCCCACCTGTTTCTCCTCCCGAGCTTTCTTCCAGTCCTCGATAAGGATCTTCTTCAGGCGGAAGCCCTCTCGGGTGACCTCTGCCATCTGCTGGAGGGACTCTCTCTCCTTTCGACCCTTCTCTCTGGGGTGAGCGGGACACATGGGCACCACCAAAGGCACTGAGGATCCAGTGTCTTCTTCTCCCAGAAGGGCTCATGCACCTGCTAGCCCACCCATGCACAACTGGCCAGAAAGCTGAGCAGGAAAACCTTCCACTGACCCCAGGCCCTTTTCCCTGTCCTTGAGAGGAGACAGGGTTTGTCCTCTCTCAGAACCAGAGAAGGGACCAGGGAGTGATGGGGTGGGGGTAGGGAGCTGGAAGCTGGAGAGAAACGGATGGGGAGGCCGACAGAAACAAGGCAGAGAATCCAGGCATGGGGACACGGGCCTGTGATCCCAGTACTGTGGGGGGCTGAGGCAGGAAGACTGAAAGTCTGGGCTCTGCCTGAGCAATTTAACCACTTAGCAAGACCCTTTCTGGAATCATAAAAAAAAAAAAAAAAAAAAAGAAAAAAGAAAAAACACTTCAGTGCACAGGCCTTGGGTTTGATCCCTAATTTCTCTTTTTTCTCACACACGTGCTCATGCACACACACGCACGCAAACACACATCAAAGCAGGAAATGAAACCTTGCCTTTCTTCTAGAGCCGAGGAGATGGCTCAGTAGAATAAGCACTTGCCTGGCAAGCCCAAGGGCCTGAGTTCAATCCCCGGCTCTGCCAAAAAAACCAACCAACCAACCAACCAACAAACAAAAGGAACCAGAGCCTCGTATCTCCTGAGGGCAGGCAGGCCAGGAGCCAAGCACTGAGTGGAGGAGCTGTCACCCACGTACTTGCAAGTGTTTTCGCACACCGTGCCACTGTTGTACTCATCGGTCCCGTCGCAGCAGTCTAAGGCCGAGGTGCAGAGATCAGAGCCAGCAGCGCCTCCCCGCTCCAGCACCACCCCCTGCCCAGGGCTGGGGCCCTCACTCACCACAAATGCCATCATTGACGCGGCTGGACAGGATGTACAGGGGCTTATAGCCCGCATTGGTGCAGTGGAAGCTACCATTGGGACAGGCAGCTGTGCCTGCATGGGGACAGGAGGGGAGGTTTGCTGAGATCACTGAGGGAGAAACGCATCCCATCCTCCACCTATACACACGGCCCCAACCCACACAGAGAGGACCAGAGGGGTGGGGATGAGGCTATGCATAGGGCGCACACCTGTCAGCCTGTCATTCCAGCACTCAGAGGGCTGAGGCAGGATGGCCTGAGCCACACAGGGAGACCTGGGAAACAAACAGCCCTACCCTGGGGGCCTGAAAGGAAACACTCCAGCCTCAACTCCGCCTCAGGGGTGGCCATCTCCACTGCAGGCTCTGATGACTGTCCCCTGGCGGCCTGCTAGAGCTACCAGGCCCACGAGGGAGTAGGAGCACTTGGCCTCCCACCTGCACCTACTTGAGAGACCACTTAAAGCCCCACCTCCAGCAGCCTTTGCGGCTGCCCTGGTGCAAACATCTCTTTTTTCTTCTCTGTGGGGGAAGCCGAGCTGGGGATGGAACCAGGACCTCATGTATACTAAAGAAGCAGACCACTGAGCTGCGTTCTGGGAACACGGAGAGCACGCTCACCCGGCTCATCCGAACCATCCTTGCAGTCACAGTAGTCGTCATTAACCTGATCGAAAGGGATCGTGGCCGAGCCATCCAGGCAGGTGAAAGGCTTGGATTCGTCATAGAAGTGATGATCTGGGGACAAAGTCAAAGTGAGAAACTCCACCTGTGTCCCCAGCACCACCACCAGCTGCAAGAGACAACCACGTCCATCGCGGGCCCCTCCTCCTCCCTCTCTCCCCGACCCCCAGCCAGGACCCGCAGGACTCACTAGTGAGGGGGACCCCCCGGGGCCTCTTGACCTCCACGGCCCAGCCGAGGGGCGGCGGCGGCAGCAGCAGCAGCAGCAGCACCAACATCACGCGCGGGGCTCCCGGCCGGCACCAGCTCTGTGGGAGGAAGCAGGCTGCGGGGAGACGCGGGGATCGCCACGCCAGGGCACGAGCGGGGAGCCAGCGGAGCCGCCAGGGCCAGCTCCAGGCAATAGGATTCCTCCACCTTTTTAGGACAAATGATCGCTCTCTTCGTTTCTGATTTAAGACCGGGGAACAGAGGTCCTCCCAGTCCTGGGCAGTGCAGCAGCAAAGCCTCAATTTGCTCAAATCAATAACGGGGAACTTCAAAGTCTTCCCTCCCCGCGCTGGAGTGCAAAACTCAGTTCCCGCTCTGAGCCCATGGGGTTCGCTGTCGCCTCTAACCCTCACACACGCCCGTGAGCTGCCCCCTCTATGAAATTAAAGTGCCTTCCCACACGCTAGTTCCATCACCTACATGCGGCCGAGCCAAGGGTCAATGGTCACCGCTCCCCGCTTTTGCTCAGCAGCCACGGTTCCTGCTACAGAAAGAAAGCGGAAGTGCTTCGATACGTCACTTCCTTTCGCACGCGACGCACCAGAACGGCGAGTCCGGGACGCCATGTTGAGAGTGGCAAACGTACGGATGCCGGAACTGTGGCGGCCATCTTGGGTAGGACTGTGAAACCTTAGAGGACAGATCTGAAGACTCGCGCTTAATGGCGGCGCGATTAGTCTCCATCTTGAGTGTGGCGGCTTCCGCAGCCGGAAAAAGAAAGTTCTTGAAAATTGCCCGGGAATCTCACTCCTGGGAGGTGGGACGAGAAAGGAAAGAGAATGAACACGTGACCCTGAAGTAGCCTCCTTCACCACTTCACCATCTGCGGCGCGGCTCAGCCCCACCACCTGCTGGGACCGCCCCTTGGTCTTGCGCCAGCCAATGCGAGTGGCACGCGGGCGGTCTCTATGGGAACGCAGGAGGGAGGAGGGGGAAGCGGTTACTTAGTAACCGGGAGATGCTGAGCGGCCCCGCCAAGCGGTCGGAAAGTGCATTCCCAGAGACTGAGGAACTCGAGCTGACCGACGGATCCCAGACAGGGGCGGCCAATTTTCTGTTGCTCCCCTAAACTTTAGGCGCCTTTGGCCCCAATCCAGTCATGACGTCTCCCCTGTGCAGGGCGGCCTCTGCCAACGCCGTGCCTTCCCAAGATCAGGCTTCGACACCCTCTTCCAAAGCCAAGGGCAGTAAGGCTCAGGCCAAGCAGGACCACCTCCGGGGCAAGGGCTGGCCCCGGACACAGGCCTGGCCTGCACACCACTCCAAGACGGGACTCTACAGCCGCAGTCCGGTGAAGACCTCTGTGCACACACAGGTGGTTGAGTTACAAAGGAAGATCCAGCTGTTGGGTAAGATGGCTCCAGAGGGCACAGCAGGGTCAGGGGTCAGCGGTGGCCACCCAGGGCTTGTGACTAGACATGGGTGACCAAAGCATTTCACCTGCATGAGTCTTTTTTTAATATTTATTTATTTTTATTTATTACATTTATTGTGTGTGTGTGTGTGTGGCCAGCTCAGCCCACCAGCGGGTCTGGCTGGCATGTGGTGCTGGGGATCGAACCGCGGTCCCTGTGCTTTGCCAAGCTTATTTCAAGTAGGTGCTTTAGACCACTGAGCCATCTCTCCAGCCCCACTGCATGAGTCTTGGTGACCGGTTTTTGTGGAAAAAAAAAAAAAGGGGCTGGTGAGATGGCTCAGTGGTCTAAAGCACCTACTTAGAACAAGCTTAGCAAAGCACAGGGACTGTGGTTCAATCCCCCAGCACCACTTGCCAGCCAGCCCCGCCCCCTGGTGGGCTGAGCTGGCCACACACACACACACACACACACAAATAAAAAAATTAAAAAAAAAAAAAACCCTCATACTTTTTCATGGTTCCCCCCATGGTTTCTTTCATTGCCTGAAAACTTCTGAACTTGGAATTGCAGTGTATTTCTTTTTTTTTTTTTTGCGGAACCAGGGATTGAACTCAGATCCTTGCGTTTGCCAGTCAAGCGCTTATCCTACTGAGCCATCACCCCGGCCCCGGAATTGCAGTGTATTTCATATTTCCAAAAATTTCAGTTATTCTCTCACCCATGTGGTGGTGAAAAGAGTAAGCTCAACAGCCAGGTTTTCTGAGTTCAGAACTTGCTCTGTGTAATTAATAGTTTAACTTGAGGGAACTAAAACTAAAGTAATTGCTATCTGGTTTTTTTAATCTATGAAGCAGAGATAATGAACTCAGAGGCTGAGGCAGGAAGGTTACAATTTGGGCCTACCCTGGGTAACATAGTGAGACGCTGTCTCAAAATAAAAAATAAAAAAAGGGCTGAAGAACTGGGCATGATGGCACAAGTCTGTAATCCCAGTACGCAGGAAGCTGAGGCAGGAGGATTGAGGCCAGCCTGAGCTATGTAGCAAGTTTTCTTATTAAAAAAAAAAAAAAAAAAAAAAAAAAGGGCTGGTGAGATGGCTCAGTGGTCTAAAGCACCTACTTAGAACAAGCTTAGCAAAGCCCAGGGACCGCAGTTCAATCCCCCAGCACCACATGCCAGCCAGCTTGCCCCCTGGTGGGCTGAGCTGGCCACACACAAAATAAATAAATAAATAAATCATAAAAAAAATAAAAATAAAATGTTAAAAAAAAAAGCATTAAATTCAATAGGGCAGGGGGAGAAGAGGTGGAGGAGAAGGAGGAGGAGGAAAGAGGGGAAACAGTAACACTACAAAATTTGAAATGGGAAATGTACTTAGAACAGTGTGTCATATACTAGAGTGCTATGAAGTAAAGCCAGTGTAACTTGGCTACTTTTCTTTCTCCTTGCTAAGACAAAATACCCAGCACCCAAAATTAAGGAAGGAAAAGTTTATTTAGTTCATAGTTCATGGAGGTTTCAGTCCATACCCGGCTGGCTCCAGGGCAGACTGGCACATGGCGGAGGCTCATGGTATCAGAAAACAGCAACAGCAGCAAGAACGAAAAGGGAAGATGGAGAAAACAAGCCTTTTCCCCTCCTTTATATTGTTTTGAGGCTACCTGCCCAGGTGGGGGTGTGACACTCCTACCCCAATCCCGGCACTGGACCTTGGATCAGTCGTAAACTCTAGAAGCCCACCTCATGACTGTGTTAGGCTTTGGGGGGCCCTCTAGACACAAACCCTAACTTAGTGTGTCTCTTATCTGTGGGCAACGTTGCCCTTTCCAGGGGCCACGTGGCAGGGGCCACACAGGTTTCTGGCTCTCGCTCTATGAGGGGCATCTCTGCTGCCGCCTTCTAATGAGCAGAGCGAGGGAGCTACCCCGAACAGCTCCTCACGGCAGCCCTAGTGTTGCTCATACAGCTATTTGGGACATCCTGGTGGGTAAGTCATCATCCTCGTTGTTGTTCTTATTTTTTAATTTTTTGGCAGAACCGGGGATTGAAGTCAAGCCCTTGCGCTTGCCAGGGAAGCACTTATTCTACTGAGCCATCTCCCCGGCCCCTATTTGGGGGTTTTGAGAGGGGATCTCAGTATGTAGTTCAGGCTGGCCTTGAGCCCGGTGATCCTCTTGCCTCCGAGTGCTGGGATAAAGGGTGTATGCATCCCAGCACCCAGATGTTTTCATTAACAGATCATCTTGCTGAGCTAGTGAAGATGTGGGCACAGGAAGGAGACTGCTTGTGGCTTTGCATAGTGTAATCAGGGGCTCAGGACCTGGTAAGCAAAGGTCCTGAGTTCGATTCCTGGTACCCCCTCCCAAAAGACAACGTAATCAGTCTTCTCATCTGTAAACTGGGTATCATTTACAAAGGGAAGTGCACCTATGGGCATGTGGCATTGAGGATTTGCCATTGTCTCAGTCCGCCATGGACACACAGATGCTCCAAGGGAAGGGTTTCTGTTTCACTGTGCAGTGCTGCGCATGGAACTGTGGGTCTTACTCCTGCTAGGCAGGTGCCCCCCTGCTGAGCTCACCCCAGGCCAATGCCTTGGCTTTTAATTGACACAGTGATAATACAGAGCTTGGCCAGGCATGGTTACATAGGGCTGTACTCCCTGTAATCCCAGTACTCACTCAGGAGGCTGAAGCAGGAGGATGGTCGTGAGTTCCAGGCCAGCTTGTGCTACACAGCAAGATCCTGTCTCAAAAACACAAAACAAGAATGGGGCCGGGGAGATGGCTTGGTGGAATAAGTGCTTCCCTGGCAAGCACAAGGACCTGAGTTCAATCCCCGGTTCCACCAAAAAAAAAAAAAAAAAAAGAAAAGAAAGAAAAAAAAAAAAAACAAACACAAAACAAGGGCTGGTGAGATGGCTCAGTGGTCTAAAGCACCTACTTAGAACAAGCTTAGCAAAGCACAGGGACCGTGGTTCAATCCCCCAGCACCACATGCCAGCCAGCCCCGCCCCCTGGTGGGCTGAGCTGGCCACAAACACACATACACACACACAAATAAATTTTAAAAATTAAAAAAAAAACACAAAACAAAACTAAAAACCAACAAAAAACAAAACCAGTCAAAATATGAAGCCGCTGATTACACAGAGGCCTTCTCTCTGAGAGGTGCCACATCTAGCCAGTGACACCGGCTTGTGTCTGTCCCCTTGCCCACCCCAGAAGGTGACCGGAAGACCTTCTATGAGAGCACCCAGTGGAGCATTAAGAAGAACCAGGAAGCCATTAGCCTGCTCCGTGAGGAGATCAAAGCCCTGCAGGGGCAGCTGACGGACCTGCTGCAGGTGAGGGCGGGGGCTGGCGGGAGCTCAGCCCCGCTGGGCAGCGGGCGGCCGGCGGGTGGCGGCCGCAGGTGACCCAGTGCCTCTCCTTGCAGGGAGATGAGAAAGTGGTACAGGCAGTCATTCAGGAGTGGAAGGAAGAGAAGCCGTACCTGAAGAACAGGATGGCCCAGGTTCGCTCTCCTGTGTCGTCATTGCGCTCCTTCCTTTCCCATCCTTCTCTATCCTGGCTGTCAGTTGTTTATTCACTCAACAGCATCTTTATTCATTGAATTATTATTATTATTATTATTGTTGTTTTTTTAGACTTTGAGGCCAGATTGGGCAATGTAGGGAGACACCTTATCATATAAAAGACAGCCAGTCCCACTTCCAAGGAGCTCATAGCCCAGTGGAGAAAATTGACCACCCAGTCCTTCAGGATGATAGTCCCTTGCTAAGTTCCTGTAGTCCCAGTAGGAGGCTGAGGCAGGAAAGTTGTTTGTGCCCAGGATTTTGGAGCCAGTAGAGCCAACACAAAATTCTCAGCCAGCTCTGTTTCTGTCTGTCTCTTTCTCTCTCTCTCTCTCTGTCTCTCTCC